TTTTTGCTCACTCTCTTTCTTACTATTGAATTATGAACTCTTAACTGAAGCAAGTGAGACCTGCAGTTCTTTAGATGTTGTTCTGGGTTCCTTTATGACCTCCTGGATGAACTTTAAGGCGCTCTTGGAGTAATGTTTACCATTTTAATGTTGGTAGGCTGGCCACTCCTGGGAAGGTTCACCACTGTTCCAAGTTTTCTTCAATTGTGGATAATGGCTCTCACTGTGTTTCACTTAGACATGGCTTTGTAACACTTTTCAGATTGATAGATGTCAGTGACTTTGTATTTCATCCGTTAAGAGTTTTTGAGTTTTCTTTAGATTGCGACATGATGTGTTGCTTCTTGAGATATTTTAGCCTACTTCGCTTTGTCAGATAGGTTCTATTTAACTGATTTCTTAATTCAACAGGTCTGACAGTGAATAGTGAATAGTAACATTGAATCAGTTGAATCAGTATTCCTAAAAATGTGGTTAATCTCAGTTAATTGATCATTTTAAAACTGCATCTTTATCAAATTTTAACATTTGATGATCTGAAGTATGTAAGGGTGACAAATAATTAGGTTTTTTTTTCAGTCCAGTTTTTATTGTTGTTTAATATATTGCATTAAATGGCAAGACATTTCTGTCAAATAAGGTAAGAAAGACTCTTGTTTTAGCTTAATTGACACAGGAAATAAGGTAAAACATGCACGTATAACTATATATATCTATATGCATAGTTAACCCTTAAAGACTCAATCTGAACCAGGACGTTTCTGTCATTTTGTTCTCTTCATATGGATGTTATCATGACCCATGACAAATTCTAAATAAGTGGCCTATATAAAAAGCAGTAACGTGATACTGATCTTGCTTCATGTGACACAGACTAAACTGTATGAGCTGGAGGGCCAGGTGCGACGTGGAGCAGACGAGATGAAGAAGAAGAAGGAGTTCGAACAGGTGATCGAGAAACAAAAGGATCAGATCAGCAACATACAAAGTCTCTATAAGAGCAAGCTGGAGGGAGCTGAGATCTCCTGCAGCCAACACAAGGTGCACACAAACAAAACTGGTGACAAAAAAACCTTTATGTGCACAAACGCCACCTCAGAGGTGCTGTCTATCAGCTATTGTCACAAGGGAATCTGTGGGCAATGAACACACTTTTCTGATTTACTCACTGTTGCAATTCACACCACATAAACATTTTATCAGGGAAAAATTTCATATGAACTATAAATAAGTGTGATAAGTGAGTATTGACATGCGTTGTGTGTTTGTGTTTAGGCCACACTGCAGCAGAACATTTCCTCCAGTGCAAAAACCATACAGGAACTCAAAGGTAACGTAATGTTTAGCTTCTGCCCCTTTATTTGTTTTAAGTGTTGCGTTGACTTAACAACCATCACATGGCCGCTACAAAACTGTGAAGTTAATCTCATGTATGTGTATGTGTGTCTTTGTGTGTACTGTAGGTCAGCTGAGTTGGCTGAATGATGCTCTGGGGAAACTTGAGAAAGAGCTGCAGAGTTGCCAAGGCAACATCAACACACTTAATAACAAACTTATGTATGACATGTAAGAAAATTATTCATCATTATTATTTTTATTATTATTATTATTATTTTTAGTACACACTTATATTTGTATGCATCTGTTTGTAAAGAAGGTATGATCACTGCACATGTCACTATAATATGCTACTGTTTACCGTCTGTGTGTTGTGTATGTAGGACCCAGTGTAACGCCCAGGTGCTGTCCCAGAAAGAGCTGTGCAATGAGAGAGTGGCTGCCGCTAAACTTGAAGCTGAGAAGAAAATGCAGAAGCTCATCCATACACCTGTCTCCTCACAGGTGGGTTTGGCTTTTCTGTTAAGCAGCAAAGCGTGTGAAAGGATGCAAAGTCACTAGTCTTTCGACATGATTGAGACTTGGGCAGAGGGGTGGACCTGATTCTTTTCTTTTTTTTAAAAGCACAGTTTTTTTTGTCACCAACCCCGTTATGTTAATCAGGACAAGGTAAAATCTTAATGTCTTAAAACACTTTCCTATCATACGTGATTATCGTCACTACTGTTTTTACATGCAAATGGGGAAATTTAAGTTCCTTTTGCTCATGTTTGTTTGCACATCCAGGCAAAAAAGAAAAACCCTCTAATTCTGCATGGCAAGAGCTATGGAGCTGTGACACAGAATTTTATATTAATTTCTTAGCAGGAAAATGTTGGAGCAGTGGAAATCAACAAATCAGTCAAGGCCCTGTCTGATGGAATTCCAGCAACTGCTTCAAGCCAAACACCAAGTCTCTCTCAACCCAAAGGAAATAAAGTCCAAGAACTACTGACAAATGAAATAATGGTGGATATAAGTAAGACAAAAAACATAAATAGTCTGCTTAACTGAAATATACACTTGTACATATTGTGTGTCTAAGCATAGTTAGTGGACAACCTCACATTGCACTTGCTTTTTGTTATTATTTTTTTTCTAGTTCCCAGCGCTCCAGTGGAGCAGCCTACATCAAAGGATCTCTCCAAAGCAGGGCCAGAGTCTGTTCATGCAACTGCTGCATTGAAACAGGAAGACAAACAGCCACAAGAAGGAGCTGACAATGCAGATGAGGTGGAAGGAGAGACTGGTAAACTTTTGGAGAATAATCTGATTGAAGACAAAGAGAATGAGGCGATCAATGCTCATGAAGAAGATCCTCAGACAGAAGGTAAATAATTTGGATAGTCACACACATTTAATGTATTAGCAGCTGTGTTTTCCTGCCTGGCAATCACACGTCCTGTTGTTTAGTGGAAAGACTTTACCACAGGGCCCAAACCAGTACTAACTGAGCACTTCCTCTTACTGTTTTTAAAATTTGAGAAAACTCTTCAGTTTAGTGAACAGAACCTCTTCGTTATGTAACAGCGTTTTTATTAGAGGTAATTTTTTTAAAAACTTCTTCCTACAGTGTCACAATATTGGTGCTGATCGCTCCACAAAAGCTGCTGTACATGTGCACATGTATGAAAGCAACAGTGTTATATTATAGTTTTTCATTTTCTAATTATGATTTTATTATTTCATTTAGAATTTTAATTTTAGTTAGCATCCAGAGTTGATTTTCTTATTTCAGTTTAGTTTTTAACTGTTTGAAAATGCTTAGTTTCTGTGTTAGCTTTAGTCTTTTATTTATTAGTCTATGGAGGGAATATGTTAGAGACAAGATTCAGGAAAATCAGTTCATTTAAATGTTTTTCAAACATGTGTTTTTTGTTATTTGAGTTAACTATAAGGTTAATCCACATCTAGTTTTAGTTTTTAAGATTAGTTTTAGTTAATGATAATAATTTCTTTTGCTAATATATTTATAACTTGGAGTGTGTGTGAGAAAACTCGCCAGCATGTTTTACCAACAACCTCATTGACTGAGTAGCAAGAGATTATCTATCTGTAGATTTTAGGCTATTCTTATTGGCTTTTCAGCAAAAACAATGCACTTGTTTTATATGGTTATATTTTGACATCTTTTATACCTTTTTTTTAAAATGTATTTTATTCTATCTGTGATTTGTTCTTTCAGAAGCTGACCCTGGAATGGAAGGGATGCTGATTGGTCAAGGAAAGGCCGATGAAACTCAAGCTGGTCAGAAACCTCAGGAACCAGAAGAGTACGACGCAGATGAACAAGTCGTGGGTGGAGAAGATTTAGAAAAACCACAGGAGAACAAACAGGATGAAAATATAGGTATGTGTGTCAAATAAGCATTTAGAGAGTGAGCGCATTCTGGTCTCGACAGGCTTTATGTCAGTAGGAAGGATGATTCTGAATGCCAGAGATAACCACTGTCCTTCAGTCAAACTTTATTGTATAGCCCTTGGCAGTCCTAGTATAAATTTTTATGCAAAGTAAAATGTCATATCGCAATATAATCACTATAGCTATATTTATGTTCTCTAGCAAGCACAACAACAGAACAAGCACAGGCAATAGCTGCAGGGTTCGTACGGGTGCTTGAAATCCTTGAAAATGCTTGAATTTTAATGTTGTCTTTTCAAGGTTTGAAAAGTGCTTGAATTTCAGATGTGGTGTGCTTAAAAGTGCTTGAAAGTGTAGCTGTATTTCATTCACCACAAACAACTATCTGATTTAATAGTTTTCCTATCAGATAGAGAAATAAAATGAGTTGCAAAATGTAAAAGCAACATTTCCCTGCCTGGTTGCCTTGTGTCTGTTTCAACGTGTGACCCTGCACGATGAGTGCGCTAACATACCTGTAGGTTGTACAGGTAGGTGTAATGAGTGTTGTCGGAAAACGACAATGGCGGAGTTTGCGCTCTCCAGTCGCATGATAGGTGAGTGCTAGTAAATAATTTTCCAGTACGCGTACGTTACAGACGCTATTTTTAAAAAAATTATGATTGTTGTTTTGCTATCAAACTCGCTGGAGAAATGATTGAAATGCACTGAGTGTGATGCAGTATGGCAGCGCTATTATGGAATATGCTGTGAACTTAGCTAACATTAATTAGCAGTGATATGAGTTAATTTACTCAAGTGAAAGCTTTAAACATTAGCCTGATACATAACTAGCCAACTTAAGGCTTTCTGATTAACCCTCTGGGGTCGACGGACCCAGAGTCTCCATTTCAACTTGGGTTGAACGTGCGGACTTCAAACTGTATACCAGTTGTTAAATTGTGTTGATAGGCCAC